CTCATTAAATTTTCGTCTATTTTCAATATAGCGTAAATAAATTCTATGATGTATTGCGCAAAAAATAATGAGATCTGATGTAGCTTTAAAGTTAACTGAATCATCAACAAATGGATGCATTCACACTTGCGCTACTTCACCTTCTAATTGCAACACATAGTGGGCAGCTTTGGTGACGTCCCACATGGAGTTCTCTAGAGCATTTAGGCAAGAAGTCAGGTCGACATTCACAACATTTTGTAGCTTAACGATCTTAATAGCTTTCATAACATCCCAATCTGACTGGTCAAGAGCTTGAAGACATTTGTCGGTTGGAATCTACATTCAATAGAAGAAGAGAACATGATATACTTCATTTATTACAATGTGTGTTTGCACACATTGCCATGAGAATTACAACACATTTTATATGGTATTTTGATGTCTCGACTGAATTTTCAAAAACTAAACAGAAAACAGGCGTTTAAATGTACATAATTACCAATAAAGTTCAGATTCAATTAAACAACGCTAACAGCGATTTAAATAGTATTTTTTTCAAATACTACAACTTTGTAATTAATATTGAATAAAACATTATTTAAGTTCGTTTAGGCAATGCTTCCAACGTATATATGTACAGGGTGTTTCCTCATAAGTTGATACTCCCCCCCCCCTAGATCGTTTATTAAAAAAAAAAATGTGAAAGTGACCAACACAAAAGTTGATTAATTTTACTGATTTTTTTTTTAATTTCACTTTAAATAGAGGATGACTTAAATTTACCACCATCTATTGACCGAAAAAACCCAGAAACCTAAATAGGCGTCTTTTACTGATTATTATCACGGTCACTAATTAACCACAACATCATTTATCTGTAACGTTTTGAATATATTGGTTAGGATTAATATTAATATCGTGAACTGCATCCACTATTTTAAGGCGTCTAACTAGATTCCCATACACAATATTCTTTAAATAACCCCAGAGAAAAGAATCAAGAGGCGTTAGGTTGGGGCTATTTGGAGGCCCGTTTATAGGACCCGCTCGTCCAATCCAGATATCAACATTATCATTTAAAAAAAGTGCTACCAGGCGAGCGTCATGGGATGGAGGGAGCGCCTTGTCGAATTTCGAGGCTACCTACTTTGATTTGTTGCTATTTATAATTTTTAAATCGTAATATAGGAAAAACGGCTAATACAAATATAGGCAAAATATATAGAGTGCTTCATTAAAAATACTTTATGTCAAATTTTGACATTTCCGTGTTTTATACATTTGTAGTTTTGTTTTAAATTCAAATTTAAAAAAAATGTTTGAAGTTTAAAAAAATATTTGTGTTGGTGACTTGCACAATTTTCTAAATACACGATCTAGGGGGTGTCAACTTATGAGGAAACACCCTGTACATATATAAAAATGTGACAATAACAAAATCACCTGAATCAGATGATATGTTTCTAGTTCTTCTTCTAAAATAATAGAACATTTGAAAGAAAATAGACAGTACACTTATATTATATCACATTACGCATGCATATTTTGCCTTGAGGTTCTCTGAACATTTGAATACAGAGTCTCTCTTTAATTAGAAAAACTACAAAACACTTACATCTTTTCCTAGGACTTTGGACATAATTCGAACTTCGTCTGAATCATTACCTCTAGTTCTGGAACTGGGCTTTGCATTGGCAAATTTCAGTAGATCTTCGCAACTTACGTGATGCATCTGCACCTATGAATAATACATTATTTGAAACTTAGTGAGTTTGAGTAGATTTAAATCGTTTTTATATTCCATTCCCCAGTAGAGAACGGCAATCGATAGATTTAAACCAACTCGACTAGCCCGTTTAATTTGTCGATAATTCTCATTTATTTTCCTGACTGCGAGTATTTGTTATGATTTTCTTATCTTTCCTCAGTCTCAGTCAAAGTGTGAAGTAAAAATTTTGAGCATCGTTTATCTCATTACGTTTCGGCGAGACAACAGCGCCATTATCAGATTTAAAATTTACACAAACTATAAACACCAATTCACTATTAAAACATGTTGTATAAAAACTATAATTTATAGTGTTAAAATATTCATCAGTTTTTGAGGTAGACCTTTATGTAGAGATAGAAGTTTAGGTAGACCTATATGTAAGGTAAACGTGTATTTTACAACGTAAATCGCACATTTTACTTCATTATAGGGCAACAGTGAATCAAATAATAGTTATTTACGTAACCAGTAGGACATGAATATTATTAACCGCCGTGGTTCGAGTCGTGTAATCACTTAGGTGCGTAAGTGCACAGTGTGTGCGAGTAATATAATATCCTACATGTTACGTACAATGTTTTATCTACAACTATAACGATTATTTGAGTATAAATAATAAGTTATAAAACTGAATACAGAACAACGCCAATGAAAATTTAGCATCGGAATAATTGTCAAAGTTGTGTATAAAGGTACACATTTTATAATGAGTTCAAGCGATGGTCTGCCATCTGATATTGAAAACGAAGCTTTTAATGTTGTTTCGGATCTTGAGCCTGGGAAATCACGGAAGAAATACCAAGAATCTTTTGATCGATACCAGAAATGGTGCAGTGGAGCAAAGACAGCAACAAATTAAGCAAAAGCAAAGTGTTTGGATCTTTCGTTCACTGCAGCATTCCTGGTACCGATTAAAAGCTTCTTGGTTTTTATTTCTTCCGTGATTTATCTGGCACAAGATCCGAAACAACATAAAAAGCTTCGTTCTCAATATCAGATTGCAGATCATCGCTTGAACTCATTTTAAAATGTGCAATTTTAAGACACAACTTTGACAATGATCGACAGATTTATTACCGCACTAGTATAATTTGAAAAAGCACTAGAGCGGTAATAAACATCATTATGACATTTGAAAGAGTGCCAAATCATAGTCATTATATAACAGTCGTAGGTAGATAAAATGATTGTTCTAATCCGCATTTAATTTTTTTCGAGTTCAGGCAAAGTCGGTATGGTTTTCTCCAAATAAAAGTGAACTGCAAATGCACGAACCCATTTCGATTGTTTAAGGTTCTTTCAAAAATTACGATTCAAGAAAATTTTATCAATATACATATATATTTTATAATAAATCAATATTGTATCCAAATACCAAACAGTGCTCTAATTGATAGACATATGCTTACCTTGTCATCTTCTCCTTTAAAATCCACACCATCAACCACATCATGATCGGAGTGAATTTCGTCTAATGCATTAAGATTGGATGCAATTTCTTCTTCGAAATGCAACGAATCTGGATTCTTTTCAGCAATTTGAACCATATTATTTGAATATAAGGGCTCCGCGTTCGACTGATTGGCAAACGGATCTGTTACACCGTGACTAGGTGGAGAAACTGTATTGACCTAGGAAATTAGACTATGTGATTCATACTGATTAAAATTTTATAAATATATATGTTTTTTTCAGATCGATGGAAGAAAATCAACAAACTTTTAAATGTCCGAATAGGTTACCTTATCGAGAGTTCGTTGTAAACTCGAAGGAGGGATTATCAACGGATGCTTTCTAGTATGCCTGGGTTTAGACGTTAAAAGTGTTTTATTTCTATCTCGTGGCGGCAAAGGAATCGGATTTTCATCTTTTGATGATTCGCTTTGCACCCTGGGTCGAGTTGCTGAATTGCTGGGCATTGTACTCGCTGCTGTAGATCTCGGTAATGTTGGAAATCCTAGAATGATTTTGAAATTAAATTTTCTCCTAACACTTCAATTATCTTGCTGTAAATCTTCGCAATTGATCAACTAGACAGCCAAATTATATTTGAAATATTAATGAATATTAAAACTAGTGGGTTTTTCCGGTTTTTAGGCCGTCGTAAAATAGAATCTCCTGGAAACAGGAATAAATTCCACTCCTCGACGGACCTCTTTTGATTAATGAATATTACCTGTTTTGTCCTGAGAACTCTCTGAGAGTGAACTCCTAAGGGATCCGCCTAGTCTAGTTGGCAGAGTACTACTAGCTACACTTGTCGATCTTGTCCTACTGCCTATGACTGGCTGACCAGACCGCAGCATTCTTAATGGATTTGTTACCATTAGCTAAACAATCAAGTAATTAAAAAAACTAGTTTAAATTAGAAAGCATTTTTAGCAATAAAAATTCGGTTTATGGACATGAAAAATACAGGGTGATTTACAAGCTTATAGACACAGAGCAGGAGTGTGTAGAGGACCTCAAAACAAGTCAAGGTGCCATTTAAGTTTTTTTTCTCAGGCCCATGGTGAACGAGATACAGGATATTTTGTACAAATTTTGAACGTAGGCTACTGTTCAGACCCTTTACCCGTAGGTAAGCCAACTGGTTGCGTACAGGGCGGTTTTTTTCTAGAAGCATACTCCATTTTTATCCTCCGAACGTTTTTGTGGTGCTCCACTGACTCCGACCGAACAAATTTTTGAATTTATTGTTCAATTTAAGATTTTTTTTTATCTCTTGCAGTTTTTTTCGAGTTTTTTGCACAAACATAAGTCCATGTAGAGTTTCTGTACGCAACCTTGTAAAAACCATCCTGTACGCCACCAGTTGGCTTATGGTCCTCTACACACCCCTGCTCTGTGTCGATATCGTTGTGAATCACCCTGTATATTCAATACTCTTACAATAAAATATATAATATTGCATGTTATCAAGAGAAACTTACCTGACTAACTTCGGGAGTGGGACTCTCGACCAATCCCTGGTAGGCCATCTGTTTCTCCTCTGTGAACGTAGACTGGAGAGGGAAAAACGAACGTAAAATAAACCAAAAAAGGGAAACGAAAAGAAATAAAGCAAAATGAAAAGAGATGGTAAACACATAAAATTAGCGGTGTCAATAATTCTCGTAAATTGGATTACATATAAAAATCCATTAATCGCTTAGCTAATTTTGTGTATGTATATTTGATTAAGGATGGATTAACACTGTTTCATATCAATATGTCTATAAAGGACATACAATACATAGTTACATTAAACTTTGAATACATGTGTAAAATTGAAACATTACTCACTATAGAAATATAAAATCCTAAACACCAAAATACAAAGATCATTACCATTCACGTACAACACTTTAAAAAAAGTGTGTGGAATAAAAACTATATCCAATGGTATGGCAATAAGTTCCAATAGTTTTAGAAACAATATCAAGTAAAGTAAAAAAAAATTAACCAAAAAAGATACTGAATTATTTCAGAAATTATAAAATGGAATCGCTGGAGCTACTGTTTGCCAATTTCTTGCATCGCGATACTGATGTGGGACTAAGTCCACTTAAAATACTGCTTGAGGGAGGAGGAGATCTACCAAATAGCTTGAGACTAAACTGAGGTCTTAAAAATGGGTTTGTGGACTTATTTATCATTTCCGATCGGATGCTCGTATTGGAACATGAGAATTTCGACAATCTTCGACGTCGCCGCCAGTCAAAATCCACAGATCCCACCGAAATGCAGTCACTATCACTTGAGCTAGATTCATACACTTGCGGATTGTATGACTGACGGCGCCTGTTACGTTCCCTTATACTTCTGCTATTCTTTCTAGGAATATTTTCATGAACATCACTGAAGGAAAGGATTCTAGGACGCTCATAAATATGCTTCTCTTTAGGTCTACCTATTAGTGGATCTTCAATTGAGTCTCTTTTGTAATAAACATAAGACGACTCAAAATATTGGGATGAGTTCACGTGAAAAGATTGTCGATTTGAATGAGATTCGCGAAAACTTTGAGACTCTCGAGCTTCTCTGGTAAATGGACTTGCAAAGCCGTAACTCTTTCTGGTAACACCTTCCGATTTAGTCAAGTCTCTCTTTCTTGGAATATTCCTAACACCATAATCAACAGTTCTATCATAGTTCTCATCAAAACTTGAATTTTGGAACCGGTTTCCAACAAACGGTGCCATATTATGACTTCCTTTCAAAATAGCACTTTCTGTACCTTCCTCTTTATTAGACGTTAAACTTCTGCAAGAGCTGTGTGGAATTCTGTGGATTGATGGAAAGGGTTTTGATAATAATTCTCTAGACCTGGCAAAGTAAAATTCCGCAGAAGCTTTGTCCCAGAGTGGAAGGCGAAGAGTGGAAGGAGACTCTTCAAGCGAGGAATGGGAGCTTTTTAACTTCTAAAGGTTTTCGGTGTTTTCAGTGATAATTGTTTGCAATTAGATTTGAGCGTAGTGAAGTGAAAAAAATTATCAGAAAGAAACGGTTGGAAAGGTAGAATGGAAAACCAAAGTAACAAAGCAAAAAATATATAATAATAAAAAGATAGTGAAGTGTTCAGATGTAAAATTAGAAATAAATAAACGCAATATAGAGGAAAAAGGAAAAGGAGAGATAAAATTGTGTTAGTATGTGTGGTAATACATTGCAACAACTGATTCTTTGTGTTTTCTGAACAAAAGGTTTCATGTCATTATGGGGTTAGATGCGTTTGCTTTTTTGATAATAAAAATTTGTAATTTCCTTAATTGAATAAATTGATCATTTGTCAGAACCAAGTTATGAAACATGATTAAAATTTCATATTGATTCGTTCAGAAAACTGGTTTGTTGCAATTGTGCTAATTTAGACTCGAAATACCATCCGGTCAATATGACCTATTTTCACCAACCGGTCAAAATCACCGAATGACTTGTGCTTGCAAAGTATTAAATATAATTCAATAAATTTATTGTAAAATTGTAAAAAATAGAATCGTTTACAAAAAATAATATTTATTTCTTACATTTATTGTAAACACAGATTGTTTTTCTTGCAATATTTTAGTAAAAATATAAGAAATTAAATTATAAAAAAGTAACAAGTTATTAAGAATATTTTTTTGTCAATATTCAGATTTTATTTTTCTCGACGCAATACGTACAAAATGATATTGTTTTGAATATACATTTACCACATACATATCTTGTACAACCACCACAGATATTCTTCATTTTATTTTCATTACATAAACCTTTCTGGCAAGTTTTTTGTGTTTGTGGTCTTTCAGGGCCGTTCTATAAATCAGTACAGTTTTGTAGCTCAAATGGATTCCTATTTTGTGCAGAAGGTTCTGTTGCCAATTGAGACAAAAAGCTTTTTATAAAAAAAATTTCTCCTGTATATTCTCCATATAATATCCATGAAATGCATGCTGCTATGTCTAGGATATTGAAGAATACCTGAAGAGGCTTTCGAGACCCTGATTTTGTGCTGTACTTTATAGCCATTTGGCCGATTACGCATATCCCGTATTTCGTTTAAAAACTATATATATCTCGTCAAACCAAAATATATGCAGAATATACTAATTTTGGTGAATTCTCAAAATTTTGGTAAATCCCCTAAAATTTTCTATAATCTTATAATACTGAAAGTAGACGTGTCTTTTGAAAATTTATTTAACGATCAAAATGACCGGTTGCTATATTTACGTATGTCGCATACGTAACTGAAGAAATATGGGGGAGGGGAAAAGAAGAAATATATGGTGTTAATGACATATATTTAGAAAAAGTCATGACATATTCAAAAAATATTGAGAAGGGTTTTACATAAAAGTCTTGTGAAGAATTTTTGAAATCGGTTATATTGACCGGTTGGTAGTTCTGGTGTTAACTCAAATTAGCTTTATAGAAATATCAAATATTTCATTGCGTACAAGATTGCCAATCAATAGAGTTGATTTGGTTTTGATCTGCTGCTGAAACACTTCCTGTTTAAATCATAATTAATTTAACACACTTTTTACTTTTATAATTTTTACAAAATATTATTTTATGAATAAACGAAGAACCGCCGGGGGTACATTTAAATTATTTTCTAACGTACTGGGTGTTCCAATTACTAGATTCAACCCAAAGTTGCATTTTTTAAATGGAATACCCTGCATCCCTAATACACTGCATATTATTGTTATTAGAGTCGGCGATCGAAGTAAATATCAGTTTTATTAAGGTTTATCATGCTTAAAGCTTACGGTTTCTGAGATATTCGGAGTTTTGTGAAAATAAAGATCTTTTTTTTTTAGTTTAAATTCCCAACACCCATTTCGCATTTCGAACAAAAATGTTACCTTGTGGCTACTAATCGACTCCGTTATACAAGATGTCCCAAAATTATGTTGAAAAATGGCACGTTTTGAACGGTAATAACTTGCTTAATTTAAATGGAACACCCTGCATTTTATGACGGGAACAGATGAAAAATTTACTATTCTATTGAATGCTATAACGGTATCAGATACCTAATTCTTCAGGTTTTCATGGAAATCGCATATTTTCAGGATTCATGCCGATATTATCAAATTTAATATTTCATCCAGTCACCTATCGCAATTTTACAGGTCTAAAATATTTATCTTAAAATTATTTCAAGTGGGCAGTTCATTGTTTCTATGCAATCTTGTTTTGTTAGTAGTTTTTTACAAAACAAACATAAAAATGAAAGTTTACTCTCAAGCAGAATGAATTGATATGATTTTTATTTTATTTTATTAATTGGTCTTTAATTTTTCCAAGGGAAAATGAGCAATAATTGCTTGAACACACCATTTTGTTTGAAACACTCTGTATGCTTTGCTCGTATAATAGTGTAATAGTACTTACTGCGGGGAATGCTGAGTGTTTCATAGAATAGTACCTAATTTTAATTTTATTTCTATTTTAAATAGTATGCCATATTTAACGCATCAATCCTAAAAATATGATATTTTTATGAAAACCTCAGGAGTTTGATATAGGAAACCTTTATAGTATTCAATAGAAAATTCGATTTTTCTGCTGTTCTTGTCACAACGTATAGGGTGATCCATTTAAATTAAGCTAGCTATTAGCAGCCAAAAAGTGCAATTGTTTCGAACAAAAAACACAATTTTGAAACACCCTATATATTTTAGTCTAATTTTCAATAATTTGTCACACAACTGCATCTATTGATAGCCGCAAGATTTAATTTGGATTAGAAACTCGAAATAGGTGTTGAGAATTTAAACTTAAGAAAAAAGATCTTCGTTATTATGAAATTCCAAAAATATCAGAAACTCTGAGATTTAACTAAGATAAACCTTAATAGAACTCACTTTATTGCGATCGTAGACACTAATAACATAATTTACAGGGCATTCCATTTAAAAAATGCAACTTTGGGACTAGTAATTAGGACCCCCTGTACATTCGAAAATAATTTTAAACTGTACCCTCAAAAGGGTCTCCATTCCCTCAACAATCGTTCGTGTCATAATCTGAATAACCCTGTAAAATACTCAGCTTAATTGAAAATTGGTATATAATAAGTTTCAAACAGCTCCTCAAAGCTGATTAACATTTAATACTATCTTTACGTACTGTTCAAAACATTATCATAGCTCAGGTCTTCATTAAAACAACTGACATTGATTGGCGAACCTTGCAATTAGCTCATCATTAATTACGAAATAATGCAAACCTTACCTGAATGTCACCAGTTGATAAAGCTTCTTCTGAAAAGTTTCGCCGCGTCTCGTGATGTTTGTCAGAATCATGTACCGAAGGAAACTTGAAGCTAAATGAACTTTTCTTTTTGCTCGGAGAAGCAGGGGTTGTGGGTGCTGGTGCAGATAAAGATCTGCAATACATTGAATATATTTTAGAACAAGGTTTTTTAATTACTAGGCTAAACTAATACTTTGTATTAAGTACAAATTAACATAGAACTGAAAAAAGCGCAACAGAAACCATCGATCTATAGACTGGATTGTTAACTTGTTTAAAATAAGAACTAACGACGTTCCTTGTGGTGTGTACAAATAATTCTCATATAAAATGTTAAAATTTAATAAACACTTCTACCTTGTGGTCATTTCGTTTGCAAGAGCTATAGCGGAATCAATATGTTTCTCGTCATGAGCTGATATTGGCTTTACGGTAGCTTGTTTCTTCGGTTTAGCGTTCATTTTCTCGCGAAGTTCATTGCTTCGGTTTGACCTGAAATAAAGGAAAACGACTAATATACAGAAAAATTAAATAGGGCTATTAAACGCAGTAATCTCGGTATCCGACACAAGACTTCAAGCTTCAATATTACACGCAGCAAGGAAGGCAAACTACATTACAAAGTCGACAATTTATAACTTGTGTCCCAAGAAACCGAACTGCTAATTTAAAAATGAAGAAAAATATGTCCTTACCCTTCATGATCAAGACTCTGATTTTGATTACCCAAACTGCTAAACATCATTTCCATTTCAGCCATAAGTGATGGACCTTAAATTGCAAAATATATGGTTATTTTCCTCTTAGAAAACAACAGAATGGCATATGCCTCTTTTTGCATTTGATTTCTAATGACTAATGTTGATGACAACATGCAGAGACGTACCTAAATCTAAATGAGGACTATTGTTTGTTTCTTCATCGCTAATTTCATGATATGCGTGATCCTGTAAAGGAGCAGGAGTAAGAGCACAATCCCCTTCTAACAGAGGAGCTGCTTCCAAATCTTTATGAGGCCTATATGGAGCTACTACTTGTGTTGGTACACTACCATACTAGGAAAAAATACATTGATTCATAGTACAGTATCATCATAATAAAAGCCATATTCACTTACATTCCCTTTAGAACATCCCAAAAAACTCAGATCACCAAAATATGCTCCATCAAGTCCCACATGACTAGTATGTTTTAAATCATTCTGAGGGGCGCTGATCATCTCACTTTTCAATTTTCTGCGAGCTGAAGATCGTGTCGAATCCATACCAGCGCGCATAAAAGATGAACTAGGTAAATCACTGCCTAGGTAAGCCACCACATTTATGGGATCAAATACTCCTGTTTTACCACTAGCAGTTGCGCCTTTCCAAAGCGGATTATGAGTTCTAAAACGAATATTTAATTCCAATTCATGATGCGTACTATTTAAAGCGCACGTAACTTACTTTTTGTCAAGAACTGTAATAATGTCTCCCACTCGAAAAGTAAGCAGATGATGACCTTCGTTATAAGTAATCTTTGCTAGAACTTGTTCAGGTCTACATTCAGCCAATATTGGGCCTGAAAAACGTTGTTTACTAATAGTTTCGCTTTTTTATAAGACGGCTACATAAAAAAAATAGTACGATTTTCGAGTTTTATAAATTAATACCTGCAACAATTCTGAAAATTTTAATTTATCTTACCTATATCAGCAAAACGCGGTCTTTGAGCAGGCTCATGCCTCCAACAATCCAACATTAAATTATAATGGTCGAGAGGACAACAATCTGGCTGCTCAAGTCTCTGAAAATTGGGTTCATCTATGGCCTCCAAAATTTGTTGGCCTATATTGGAACAATAAGATAGAATACAAGAGGAAAAGTACTCAAATTGGGAAGTTAATAACATACCTGTTAAGGCTGCCCAAGGTTGAAATCCATAAGAAAACATCTCCCACAAAGTAACACCAAACGCCCATACATCACTAGCTGTTGTAAATCGTAAATAACTTATACATTCTGGAGCACACCACGCTGGAATAAATTCAAAACTGAAGGTGTTATGATGAAATTTAAAGCTGGGAATGTAGTTGAACTTACCTATAGGTAATTTTAAATTGACGTTGAAATTAGTCTGATAGTAGTCTTTTCCTTGACCTAAGGCACGGCTCAGTCCGAAATCCGAGATTTTAACTTTATTTTTAGAAAATACCAAAATATTTCTTGCAGCCAAATCCCTGCAAATTAAAAAAAATGATAGACATAATTGTTTTTTAAACCTGTCTATTGATCAATGGATGTCGAATGATTAGAAATCATATTAAAAATTTTATTGAGTAGTGCAGTTTGTGCGGTAAAAATTGAAACAGTTTTTTCACCAAAGAAAGTAACAAGTAAAGAAAACCAGGGGTTGATATGTGTTGAAGAGGTAGTGCCTTTGCTTCGGGTTGACTGGGCAATCAGGGCTGAGTGATGCGCCATTGCCTTAACAAAGGTTTAAGGAGAAAAATTAAGATCAATTTAAAACATGAAAGGCAAAAACTGGTGTCCTCGTAAAAAATAATGAAATATGTAGAATACATTCTACAAAATGAAGACGAGTAGGTACAGAACGAATCTTCAAAACATTCTCACACAAGATATGGAAAACTTTTCTGAAGTAAGCCAGCTTACTAACTACGTATCAGAGAGCATTAAGAAGGCTGTTGAGAAAACTCTTCCAGTTAATAGGAAAACTACAGCGAATAATAAAATCGCTGAGGATATAAAAAAACTTATTGCACATAGAAATAAACATAAAATATCCATGACACGCGATGGACTAAGGGAAAGAAACAAACTTATCAAGAACCGATGTCTTCAAGTATAGCGAGAGGGTAATAAAGGAAGTGATAGAAAACAACAAAAGAGGACCAAGAGTATTTAGAAAAAGGGAATTTAGCTAGGGAAATCCGAAATAACATCATTAAAAGAGGAAAATGGAAATAAACCCAAGACAAGAACCGAAATTCTTAAGTATTTAAAACGATTTTATGAGGACCTATACTCCTCAAAAGTGAAACCTAGCGATAAAACAGATAAGAGAGCCAAATTAACTAAGCACCACACCGAAGATCTCCCACACATAAGCAAATATGAAATTAAAACTGGACTCAAAAAAATGAAAAATAGCAAAGCACCAGATCCGGATGATATAATAATCGATGATGTCAAGATGGGAGGCCGAAAACTATTGGGATATCTAGAAAAACTTTTCAATGATTGCTTAGATAAAGGTGAAATACTTCAAGCATGAAAAAAAACGCGAACGTGATTATCATCTGTAAGAAAGGGGACAAGGAAGATATTAAAAACTACAGGCCGGTCTCACTGCTGTCTCATACCTACAAGCTCCTGACAAGAACAATAACGAAGTTACCAGCAAGCTTAACGCTTGTAAATTTGTGCCCTTAAGCATATCGCTTGTAAATTAGAATTCCCTAAAAAAAACCTTAAACTCGTCACTGAATGTCCAAACATTTTTATAGGCATAAAACTCGAGCAAAAATTTGCTTGCTTTATACTAAAGACATATAAATACATACAGTTTTAATTAGATCATAGAAAAGAGAAACACACAATATAATAATTGATGCGATTATTATTAAATTTGTAAGCAAAATGTATGCAGGTCATCAGACTTCCACGCAAAACATATTCAAGGTTTGTATAATGTTTGTAATTCAACGTTTATAAGTTCCCTTTTATATCACTCAGATTAACATTTAATGCAAATTAAATCTACGGTCATTGTCGCTGAATTTAAAAAGATAGTTGCTTTTGTTAAAAACGAAGGTAGTTACTAGAAAATAGCTATGGTTGGAGTGAATATCTTCTAGAATGCTACCTTTTTAAATAAATGAACTGTTGGAATGACGAAATACGAAACCTGATTATATGCCTATCAAAGAACAAATAGTGCAAACAATGTATATGATTGTACATATTAACAAACTCACCTATGAATCAGTCTGTTTGCTTCAAGATACTGCATACCATCACATATTTGATATGCAAAATCACACAAAGTTAACACAGGAAAACTTGACCTCAAAGAAGGCTCTTTTAAACATTCTAACAATGACCTAGAAATAACAAATATGTTACGGCTATCGAGAAGATACATGTACAAGTAATAATGCAAAAAAATTGTAATGAAAAGTGTCAGATTTGTATGGAAATATTTGCACAGTGTAATTACAATATACTCGAGAGCTTTTATGATGTTTGGCTAATGCTTGTTCTACAAAATCAAAAAGTTTAAATATATACATTTTGTATGTAATGAAGCTAAAACACGTGGTTCATGTGCATTACCTGTCAATAGATATTTTATTCAGAATTATAATATTTTAAAAATCAAATACGATATTGCGTCATTAAATACTAGTTTAAACAGGTGATTACCTATATTGTTAGCTGTTGAAATATTTGCGATTAATCTTGCTTTGCCTAGATATGTTTGATAGGAAACTATTGTATGAATCATGTCAATTTACCTTAATGGAGCCAGTTCAGTGACTAACATTAAGCTGCCCTCGATATTTGGAAGCACAACCCCAAAAAACCTGACTATGTTTGGATGGTCTATATTGTGCATTATGGACGCTTCTTTTAAAAATTCCACCATATTGCTCTGCATTCTATCTCTAGATAGACATTTAACAGCTACCTGAATTCTTTCTCCTGAAAACTGCATTAGCAAACAAATATCCCGATGCATTTCAGAAATGTTACCTTCGTTACACCAGACACCCTGCTGAACAACACCAAATTCACCCATTCCAAGCTCTTTGTTGATTGTAATACTTGCAGCGGGAATTATGTGTTTACTAGAAACCTTAGGCGACTTAGATACAGTAAGGGTATCTTGATTCAGTAAAAGGTTTACATCAGTAACTAAAAATTGTCAACATTTTTTTAATGATAACACCGTATATCAGGAGGAACATTATTTTGGTTAATAACAAAATAACAAAAACTGACCTGTGTTTTCTTGCTTTTTATGACTTAACAATTTTTTGAATTTTGATAAATAATTATGAGGAAAGTGTTTTTCATAGTACTTCCTCAAACGCCTCATTTCTGGCTTGGACATTCCTATGTCTACCAAGTCACTTTCTGTTGTAAACTTGAGCTGGGAAGGGTGAGTAATTTTTAAAGTATTCCTTAAAACGATTTGATGTTAAACAAATGATTATTCACTCTAGAGGTCTGAGCTCTTACTTAAAGCTGTTGAAATAATGTTGCAGTTCTGCTTCTACGAGAAACTCGTAAAGTCCTGGTCCTTTTTTCACTGCCATATTTCCGACTTCTACGAAAATATACAATTGCATCAAAGTTTTGTTAAATTTGTATTATTAAATTGAAATTTAAAAAATTCAATTAAACTTAAATTTATACGTCAAGGGGACCAGATAATACTAATTTGTTTCTTTTATTGAATAATTGAATCATTTTAGGCGTTTTCTGTGCGCTGACTTGTAGTTCGCCTATAAACTAACCCGGTAGTAAAATACCAATATAGGCAAATAATGTTAATTGACACATTGTGGGAATAAAAGCAGTTTCCATGATCCTTGTAGAGGCATAAACGATGCATACATAGATCCTGATAAACATACTAAGAAAGTAATTGCAAACTGTTGACAAACTGGAAATAATTGAATGGTTAAAGAAACAATAAAATATTTGTGTAGATATAGAAAAATGATGATAATTTTAATAACTTTGTTGAGATTGATGAAAATGTAACAACTACTTAAATTATTAACGGATGGTCATATCATCGAATCAGGCTCAACAGATAATTACATACAGGGTGTCCCACCGGGAACCGACGCGATCGATATCTGGCAAACTATAGTTAGGAGATATTTGAAAATTGGACAGTGTGCCCAAGCCATTGAGGGCAAGCGATCTAAAATATTTTCAAGATGGCCACACTTCCGGTTATACCGGAAGTAGGTATCAACTTGCTTATTTTAAATGGAACACCCTATATATTATTAAATTTTTGAATTCTACTCCAAATTCTAAACATATTTCATGTTGCAACCACTCGAATAATGGCAAAACAAATAAACAATCCGTTTTTCCTATAAGGGAATATCTTCTACTTAATTTGAGTCGCATTTCTTGTTGAGAAGGACTTACGTTAATGGCATTTCGACAAATTTTTATAAGTATTAATACAAAGTGTTTAGAAAAATAAGTTTCAAAATGGCGTTTTGAACCGCTCGAAATCAATTTTTTCAAATAGAAACTCCCATTTTTCAAAACTTTACCTTATTCAGTATTAAAAATAAGGGTAAGGTTGTGTAAAGCTGTCTATTCCAAAAGTGCTTAGTTTTCGAACTATTGTCAAGTTAATGTTTTCATATGGCAATTTTGTAGCATCTTATTTTAAATACTGTCATTCTTAGTTGTGATGACGAAAGTTACCATTTGTAATACAGCCAAATGCCAAAGGAATGCTTACAGATGTCAGTTACCCTTTGAAAATAATTAATAATTATGCCCGGAAGCTTAAATTATACATACGAAGATTGGCCATCTTAAAAATATTTTAGACCGCTTGCTCCCAATGACTTTAGCACACCCTCCAATTTTCAAATTTCTCCTAATTACAGTTTGCCAGATATCGATCGCGGCGTTTCTGTATAGACCTATTATTTTGCTCATACACTTTTCTTGTAACCATGTAATTTTTTTATATTTTCTTGACAAAATGCAGGTTTTGCATTTCTTAAAGCAACAATTCTTAATAATTTTTGGTATTTTATTAGTATCAAAAATGAAAAAATGACGGCGATTATACAAACAAGATTGAGTCTAACAACAAAGTTGTTTGTAAGCTCCTTGAATCAAAGAAATAATGCAGAAAATCACCGAAATTCGCAACGAAAGATGCTACCGAGGACATTTGACAACATTAATTTTTGACCTAGACGAGCGCAAACTACAATAATTCATTATTTTCTAAAATCACAAACTTAAGACTTAGTTTAATTTCGTGTATGTGCACAGGAGTGTAAGTATAAATCAAATATTTAATAATCAAGAGTATAATAAAGCTTTTTTTAAATTTATTTATAAAAATATATAAATATACCTCAAAGTCATTAGGGTGGTAAAGACATAAAGACAAGCATGTGTTGCTTAATAAACATATGTTCGGAAACAAAACTAGCTGTTCGAGAAGAAATTGTTGAATTTTATAGAGAAACTGTTATTTAAATGGGCCAAAAACGCTCTTAGTTTTAGCCGATTTTAATGAAATGTTCAGTTAATCTCGAATGAAACTAGGCGTCTTTTGACCATCAACAAACTAGTCTATTCAATCAATTGCATCAGTTTGAAGAATTATGACAAGCTGTATTAAAAAGTTTCCTTACTGCACAACAAGTTATTCTATGAGTAATTTTGTTTGTCGAAAATAAGGCCATATGTGAAAACTTTTCAAGTGGCAAAAACGTTGCCTGCTTATTTGCTTCACTAAAAAAATAAGAAAGTTGTGAAAACCCAGTGTTATTTCTGCATAAAACTAGCTGCTGCTCTATGAGCGCCATCCCAAGAACATTGTATCAATTGTAATTGATCCAGAAGATGTTTGATTTGGTTAGCAGCAAATTGTGAAACTTTCATTTACTTTTACATATTAATAAAAATACGAGTTTTTTGTCGAAATTCAGCACTGTGTGAACACTATTCATTTTAAGACAGATTTTTATAAAGCAAGAAACGTCTGTTTTGACCTCCAGCATCCGTAAGCGTATAATGCTAAATGTAATTAATTATAAAATAAATAAAGTGCATACCCATTTTTTTATCTTGTATCAGAATAGAACACAGGGACCAACACAGGGATTATAATTAATTAATGCATGGAATTCACTTATTGCCAAATTCCGCCAACATACACATTTCAGGTACCATGTTTAGTCAGATGTTGTTTATGAAAATTAAACTACTGATAAGAAATAGAAAACAAATTATTGATAAAATTCATCATATAAATATGTTGTTTGACAAGTTCCCCTACCCCCACTGGCGAGGTTTATGTACTCTTCTTCTCTCATTTATTTCTTGCAATTCAAACATTTTCTTTCATCAATTTGCCCGTTTATCAAAGTCTTTTGGGGAATAAATTTTGATATCTGTTTGAATTAGTTTCAACATATTAATACTATAACACATGTTTAATTGAGATTGTCATTGATATGGATTGTTATCGATAATTCCACAGCTTGTCGATAGTTCTTACTAGCACCACTTGACAGCTGTTTCAAGTTGCATAACCTCACTTGTTCCCTCTGTTGAGCTGGGGAATTTTACGATTGTTTGCCCTACAGATTATTTGTATCAGAATGATTCGTAGTGTCGGCAATCTGCTCAGGACATTGGCATGCCACAATGATTATATGCTGTTAAATTCCGTTAGATCTATCGGGACTAGTGTGTCCTTATTCCGTGATGTGGTAGACCGAAAGGAGATGCTTAAGGCGCTTCCAGCAATCGACGAAGGAACTGCAGGAGAAAAGTCCGCAGCCGTGGATACCCTGAGCCATGGACAGAACATTTTCCCTACCTGCGATTCGGAAAACCGACTCTTTGGAGGCATTCCCTTCAAAAATCTGCCGATTATTAATATTCGTGTGTCCCATAACAATACCATCTTCAGTTTTACTGATGCTAAAGGCGTGCCGTCACTTATCAGGTCTTGTGGAATTGAAGGTTTTAAGAACACCCGAAAAGGCACCAACATTGCTGCACAAACCACCGCAATTACGTTTGGTAAAAAAACATTGGAAAGAGGAGTTAAAACGGTTCGAGTAAGAGTGCGTGGTCTAGGACCTGGAAGACTGGCCTCTATCAAAGGCTTGCAAATGGCTGGAGTTGATATTGTTTCAATCACAGACAGTACCAGAGTTTCATGGACGCCTTTAAGGCCTAGAAAGCAAAGAAAACTGTAGATATATTATTTGTTAAATATCTAGTAATTCATGTCGATTTGTTGTGGACAAATATACCTTTTGAATTTATTTGATTGCTCATTTCAGTCATACTCAGTTACTACATGTTGGTGTTTGTTTCATTGTTACTCTATGTTGGGCTTCAAAGACAAGAATTTCTTCGGAATTGATGATCCTAAGAAGAAATCATGTAAGTGAAATAGTGCAGATCTCTAGGTTTGCCATTAGCTTAGCTCGGCCAGCTAAACCCAGCTGATGAGATCTAATAGGTTGGTTGGCGCACCTCGAGATTCGCACTATTTTACTTACATGTTGGCTTCAAAGTATACATTATTTGTATCGAATTAAGTGCGAACTATTGGAGATGTAGTTTTGGTTTAAAGAACAAAGCAAATAATATTTTTCGCTGGTTGTGATGGTGAATAAATAAAATTTTAATTTTAAAAATAATAAAAAAACACTTATTTTTAAATGGAATTTGCTGTATATTATTGCATAAAATCGAAATTAATTTTTTTGAGCAAGTTCCTACTTATTTTTTTAGGTATTTTATTATAAATATACTTGGCTTTAACTTTCAATGAAAATAAAAGACTATTTAAGCAGATAACACTCAATTTAACAGAAATTAAAATTAATATCGCTGCGAATGCTTAAGCGAATCTATATTTAATTTATGAATTATAAAATTTATTTTTGCTTTGTCCAATTTTTTTTAGGAGAAATATAAATTATCGTTGTTTTAATTATCTGGACTTTAGGAGCTGGAAGAACAGTAATAATCTGCCTAACGTTAACCGTCACCTCCATAGGCACTAAAACGTTTGTTAACACCCAGGTCACGTAACTTTAATCCAATCACTTACTTCTTTTAAGTTTGTATAAATGTTTTCAACAGAACAGAGATACACATATGTAGTTGAGTTTCTTTTACCCACTGCAAACCGGCCCAAGTCTCCTTCTTTATTGTTACATATTTCTTTAATCATATTATCACAGTCGATTTCTCCACTTCGGTCTTCTTGATGATGATGATTATTTTATTTTCATATGAATAATGATTTTTCTTTTTTATTCGTTATCTCAGTTTTTTGAATAATTTATTCAGGCTAGAGTCTCGCTTGAAGGCGATTGTGGATCGACCTTATATAGCGGAACTTGTGCTGGGCAATTATTAGGTCTGAATCTTGTCAGAAGTAACCTGTATTACCGATTTAAAATATGATTCTCTTTCCATATGAATCTTTGATGCCTCATCCGCTTCACTTTGATCAGGATTTAGAACTTCTTACTTTTTTCTAACTGCATTTGATATTGTAGTTCGGTTCAGAAATGGTTGGTCCAATAATTGACCATCAAATGCTCCAATGCTCCAACCATGGTCGAAAACTGGTTGCAACAACTGAATCGTCATCTAACTTATAATTAAATTGAACTATTTTTTCATAATTTTTTTCATAATATCAAAAATTTCATCTTTAATATAGAGATCCTCACCCTAATATGGACCGATGATACGTGAGATGGATGTAGAAAATGTTTTTTTAGCAATTCTGTAACACGCTCTTCTGAAGAAATGACGCAAATTCTGAATGTTCCAAATCCATAGAACAATTCTGTAGAAATGTGCATAATTTGCACATTTTCTGAAAAGTTGTACGTTTTAGAATTTTTATTGAAGTTTCGATGATTCCCTGTCCATGTGTTTTTCCAAAAGTTGTTAAATTTGATCACATTTTTTCATTTCAATATGCATAAAAACTCTTTCTACTTTGATGTCCCACTGTGGGGTCATTGCCTCCGATGTAGGGATCAAACTTTTGCTTTCAATCACAAAGCATTACCTATAAAATGATAATACTGGAATTGATTTTGTATAAAAATATATTTTATTGTACGCTTAATCTACAAACAAGTTTCAAAATATCACAGTTTCAACTTACTTTAGCAAAATATATATATTTAATCGTAAATCTAGAAATACTCTATAATAAATAGTGTTCATATGTATAACAATACCTGATTTGAAAATAAATAATGTAGTCTAAGAAATACTAGTAATGTGTAAAAACAATAACAACCATATTAAGTTTTTAGATTCTTTAGAACATTGGCCTACTTACATATTTGGGAATAGAATGAGATTCAATTTATTTAATTTTTTTTAAAAGACCGAATTAATTGAAAAGAAAATACACAAGCTACAAACTACATTAATTAATTAAATATACTTCTTTCTCTTTTGTGTATATCTTTTTTTTGCACATAAAATCACATTTTTTCGGTTAATTTTGTTCTCAATAAATAAGCACTTTTTCCAATAATGACAAATTTAACACATTCGCAATCAACCTATAATAAGCATGGTAAATAATTTATGCGGTCAGAAAACATGAAGCTTAAGCACGAAGAAACCGCTAATGCGAAGCCAGGTATTAAAAATTGAAGAATCACGTCGGATTAAATAAAGCACGTTTGAAAGCACAATTTTAATCGACTTTCATTGCGTTTTTGACGGAATCGTAAATTGAAAGCGTAACTTTTGCCTTTGTGTTGGAAAACTTGTTGATTTGAAAATAAATCTGAAAGGTTTAATGTCTATTAAATACACAATTGAAGCAATCGATGTAAAGTAAACAAAATTAGTCCTAAACAAACCACAGACATTTATAACTATTTGTATTCTCATAATATTAACTGATTTATATAATTAATTCGGACACTAGGAAGAATTGTTGTCTACAGAACTTAAACTCTCAGTTTTTGCCAAGTCCAATTTGTCCTTTAGAATGCACTTCTTGTAGTGCGTCCTCATATTGCTACTTTGAGAAAATGCCAATCCACAGTTTTCACATTTGTATGGTTTCAGTCCGGTATGAAAATTCATGTGTGTTTTCAAGTGGTGCTTTTTTGTAAAACTTTTTGGGCACGCGTTGCATGCGTATGGTTTTACACCTAAAATGAGTAAATAACATTAAATAGTTAAAAAGGAATTTTTGGCATCATTATACGATTAAAGAAATAAATAACAGTAACAAATAACATGAAAAAACTAAATATACAGGGTCTCCAAAGTGTCATCCCGCCCCAGTTCAAAAATATTTCATTAAACATTCAAAAATGTTTAACACATTTATTATCCGCATACTTTTTAATGCATACTTCTTTAAGAGTATTCATTATAATAATCTAAAAGTTTAATCTTAAAATTTAAATAGACCATGGAAAAATTAAATAGGAAAAATTAAGATATCTGGAAATACTGTCAAAAAACCTAATTCTAAATTGAATACTACCCTGAAGGCAGATAAATCTCCGCATCAAAAGTTTATTTATAGTAATGTTGTAAAAACAAGAAGTTAATATGCAAAGAAAAAAACACGAGATAAACTTTCATATCAGTACAAAAATGGTTGGGAAAGCCGTCTACAAACATTCAAAAATTCACGTAGACTGCAATTTAAAGAAAACTAGTTTACATATAATATTTTACTAAATACTCTGTCTACTCAGCTTAGACGATATTTGTATTTCTTTTCGATCGGAATATAGTAACAATTAGAATATTCTAAAGAGGTTGTCTTACACTAAACAACTCTCGGTCTATAATTAAAATTGTTTTTATTCGGACTATCATGTACTTTTTTTTTTGAACCGCTACCTAAAGTAAGTCTTAAAGTCTTAGTTTTTATTTATTATTACTCCGCCTATACAGGGTGACCATTTTCTGAATCTTTGTTTGGGTAACTTCTACATTTTTAAAGATAGAGAATCCGTTAAATGGGCAAAATTGGGCAGAATTCGATTGCCTATTATTACCGTTTTCAAAATGTAGGTACCCGACTTAGTTCCTGAAATATCTTGAAAAGACAAGAAATCAACAGTTTTTTAATTATCACATATTTCGTAAACTGCTTAACTTAGAAAAAAAGTTAAAATTGCCTTTGGTAGAACTTTTTGCGTTGAATCCAATAAACTAGCACTCGTTGTCATAGTCAACTTGATTTACGAGATAAAAAATAAACTTAAGTTTATTTAAATGGTAATCATAGTTGGCTATGGGCTTTTTAATATCCTTATTTTTTTCTGAATTTAACGATATAACTGTTTGTATGTTTATCTCTTCTTTTAACCGTAAAAATTCAAAAGAACATTAAAAATGTGTAGTACGCTCTGGAAACAAGAAATTTGATGATGGCAGTTTAGTAATAAAATTATTGTCCATTCTTTTATAATCAGAATTTAAATAGCGAAAGATATTTACACTTTTTACCAAATGAACTTGAAGATTCGCGAGCTGTATGTGAAGATGCCAAAAAATCCCTGGGAGTAAACGGAAGTCAATTTGAACGTTTACTTTAAACGATTCATTATTGTTTTGGGCTTTCTGTGATAATATAGTTCTTGTTTCCATAGCCTACTACATATTTTTTATCTTCTTTTGAAGTTTTACGGCAACAAAAAGAGAAAAACATGTAAAAAATTATATCGTTAAATTCATAAAAAAATAAGGATTTTAAAAGGCCCCCAGCCAACTATGATTACCATTTAAAAAAACATAACTTTATTTTTTATCTCGTAAATTAAGTTGACTATTACAACGGGTGCTAATTTATTGGATTCAACGCAAAAAGTTGTACTAAGGGCAGTTTTAACTTTTTTCTATGTTAAGCAGTTTACGAAATATGTAATAATTAAAAAAGTGTTGATTTCTTGTCTTTTCAGGATATTTCAGGAACCAAGTCGGGTACCTAAATTTTGAAAACGCTAATGAGTAGCCAATCAAATTCTGCCCAATTTTGCCCATTTAACGGATTCTCTATCTTTAAAAATGTAGAAGTTACCCATACAAAGATTCAGAAAATGGCCACCCTGTATAAACTAGATTTTCCGTATGCCTGAAAATTGTGAATCCTTATAATCCGAAAAGCAAATAATTATTCGTTCTATTAAACAATACGTGTTTCGCTTGGCATGAGTTACTCTGCTTGGTGTTTTTAAACAGAAATATAAAAATGTGTGTAACTGTCGACCTTATATCGAGCTTCCATATTTAAATTTTAAAATTATTTAGTTATACGGCCAATTTTAAGTCAAATGCTTGTTAAAAACTTAATTAATTATTCCCCATAACAGTTACAAACTTAAAAGTAAAATATAACTTGGTTACCTGTATGCAATCGAGTATGTAAGCTCATATTTGACCTATCTGCAAATGTTTTTCCACATTCAGGGCAGGAATATGGTCGCTCCCCTGTATGAACTCTTTGGTGTTGTTTCAGAAGCATTTTTCTGGAAAAGCTTTTTCCACAAGTTGGACAATTGTGTGGTTTTAAACCTGAAATAACAATTAAAATATTTTTCAATTATCATATTATTAGGGGTACTTAAGGACCTTTATTTCATTAGCTTTCATCACCAATATTTCAGCAGGTATTTCAATTGATCTTACACAATCCATCAACTACCTAAATACTAGTTATTATCAGTTAAATCTCTATAGTTTCTGCATATCCATATAAAATTGTGAAAATATCATTGTTTACGTTAGTTTAACGTCTACCCATTATTAACAGTGGCAGTATCTATGCATATTAGTATACAGAACTATACGGTGTGTCCCGACAATAGGATGGACCGAAAAGCCTTGCTATTGGTCTTAAAAATTAGGATTTTTTGTTTTTTCCCCTTTTTTCATAGTCCAGATGTAATAGAAATACCATCGATTTTCTTAGTTTCAATGTAATTTTCGCATTTTTTCGTTTTTAATTCTACATGCAATTATAAGTATTTTATATATCTTACGAGTGAATATTGAAGTTTTAACAAAAAGCAAATTAACAAAAATGTTAGTGTCAAAATACTTAATTCGTCTTGATTAACGGTATTTCTATCTGTGTTTTCGAAGATGTTGCAAAACTCGATTTATTTAGTAAAATTCATAATTTAATTTACGATGTGTTTTAGCAAATCCACCAAGTTTGTATGTTCTAACAAATGTATGTATTTTTTCTAACATTTGGATTTGTTGCATAGTAGATAATTAATCCGATTTATTAAGATAAAACAATTAACTGTTTAATTTTTAAACAGCTTTGACATCGGTGTAGAATACATAGTCAGTTATAATTAAGTGTACACACTTTTACAATAGAACCAAAATCAAAAAATCCTTCAATACGAAAATACAGTGTTGATTCAAGTGAATTTATTGACAAAATTTATTAAAATATTCAAAGCAAGTACATAAACATATAGAAATAGTAGAACCTCTTGCACGTTTTCTTATGTGTAACGAATCGTTTTCGTTTTAGCAATGGCGTTCTTAAGAGCAGGGCATGTGTACAAATATTTGTTAAGAAAAAAAAACACCTTACAGTTTTTCTAAACATAGGAAAAGTGTGGGTTATGTTCCAATTTATTTAGAGGACAAATAATCTCTTGCATTTGTTTGTTCGACCACACGTTTTCGATTTTAAAAAATTAATTCTTAATGAGTGAGTTATACGGATTTATTGAAATAAATTGCTATTTAGTATTAAACAATTAAACTTGAAACTAAACTGAAGCAAATTTTTAAGGCTATACGTTTACCCGTAAGAGCATACGAATTTCCGTGCATTTTTGGCAGTGAATTACAGAAAATCTACTTCATGTATTTGATTCAAATTTGAAAAATTGGATAGATGCTATTCTCTAGAATAGCGGTTCTCAAACTTTTTTGGCGACGGAACCCTTTTAAAGAACCAAATTTTTAACAGAGCCCGAAACCCTCACTAAACTAAAAGTAAAACGGATTTTATATATTGCATAGTGCATTGGTCATTAATAAGCTTGCAAAAAACCGTTTTTTGGAATGAAGTGAAAATTGGTAGGCAGCCATAATCGGCTGCCGCAAGTCTAAATATAGTTTTTTTGAAAATGGCGACGCTTCCGGAAACATCGGAAATCTTGGCGATATCTTGGCTTTTTTAAATGGAAAGTCCCTATTTTGATTTCATATTTGTATTCAGCATTAAATTTTGAGTCCATTTGCCAACACTTATCTGTCATAGTTTTTGACATATGTCACATTTATTGCAAAAAACAGGGATGCAGAGGTTTATTTGCAAAAACATAACTCCTAAATCATATCTATTTTTTATTCAATTTTCAAAGGTTTTGGCCGAAATTTTGCACTGATTCTGCCACTTTTGTTATTCGTGCGTTTGTTGCGGTGTTTCAAAGTTGACAATAAAAAAATGCCTGCATTACGATTTCTGATAAAGAATTCAAATTTACGGATTACTTCTATAGCCAACTACTTGATAAGAAAGCAATAATATTTCTTCCAAAGAATGCCAATAACTCATAAAGGGCTTTAGAGGAACTTACACAATGCTAATAAAAGTGGACTTAAAATTCAATTTTACCTCTATTTTTGGAGTCAGAAAAAGTAGTTGCCATTTGAAAAAGTAAAGTTTTTGTCATTTTTTTTTATTCTCAACTTTGGAAAATCGCAACAGAAGCAAGATAACAAAATTATCAGAATCAACGCAGAATGTCTACTTTTTTAGCAAATCATTTTCGGACTTTGGTTAATTTTTTTACATTATTTTATTTGATCATGTATTCTACTGTAAAAGTCTGAACATCTAATTATGACTCGCCCTGTATAATAAAAATGGTAGTAAACTGCAATTATTGTGTTAAAAAAKATTTTTTGAATMTTATAACTGAKGGCAAATGTTTCATAATACTAATTYWTKCACTATTTCATAATACTAAATTTGAAACTACAAAAACTGATCGTGAATGGCAAATACKCAGAAATTTCGAGTTTAACATTTTTTACGGTTAATCCTCGGCGTGYTTAAGATAAATATCGGAAGATTTGTTTGGCAGAGCATTCCTCGGATAYTCAGGAAGCWCAATTGAAAGMCATCACGTCCGCATTTAGAACTGGCTCYTGAGGCTTGAAACGAATCAAGACGCAATTTGCTTAACATTGGGGCGATTAGGCAAATTTTTACGGTTTAAATATTTAATCACTATAYCAATCAATTCTAGGTGGCAGATACGGTAWCGCAGATTTTCAGRAACGTAAATGTTTYATATTTTATTAWAGTGAAAAGTGTAACATATTATTTATGCTCTTGTTCGTACTACGTTAATTTAAACGGATGAAATTATATAAACATTTTACATCTTACCAACACCACCATTAAAGCCTTGGGCAGAAAATCAAAGCGCATTGCATTGTGAAATTGAAGGATGACTCACTTAATCATTTCAAGCTTGTAGAAGATTTATTGAAAACTAATTCTAAGCAGCATTGGATGATTACTAATCAGTTATTTTTTGATGGGCTTCTCGTTGTCTCGATTTAATTCCACAAGTTATTTTCAGAAGAACGCCTCTTTACGCCAATCTCATTACAACAAAAGATGATATRRAAAATTATTTAAGAAAAGTGACTCATTTAATCTCCGGAAAATAATACTACAATGCTTAAAAGTAATAATKTAAGGTACTTGTTTGAYTTTAGATATCAAACTTTGATTTARGGAAAACAAGAATGCAGAAAACTGAGTGTGAAATGTAATAAAAATATGCGGAAAATTACGGATTTCMAAATATGTTTATTATGTTGTATCTGTATAAAATAAAACTTAATTACCAAWAYTTATGCTCGTATAGCATAGTCGATCGTCCAGGTACATTCTGTATAAGCACGATAATTTCAAAGTATTCAGTGAAAATTTCATTAGCAACTGTGTTTCAAAGGTTAGTCAGTTTTG